TTATATCATATTTATCACAATAAATACATATTACTCGCTATTGTAAGAACTATTTTTATGATATTGATACTTTTTATTTGTATAAACCATTGATCAAAACAATAAAACTGTTTTGCTGCTTTTCTATTCATTATGAACATATCTCTTATTAAAATTTTGTTTGCTTTGATCACTAAGTTTTATTATTAGAATCAGTGGCGTATTTTCGAATTTTTCTGGGGGGGTCCATATAGTTAACATTATACTTACATTATTATTATAATCTAATATCTATGATAATTCATAAAATTTACGTACCTAGATTTGAGGTGATTTAATTTAATATAATTTTATTGACTCACTTATACATATAATATAATATAATATATTGCATTAGAGCAGGGATGGCGAACATTTTTGTACTAGCGTGTCAAAAAAAAATGTTGGTTGAATTTTGTTTTCCCTGCGTGTCAACTAGTTTTATAACCTTTTTTCATACTTAAAAATTCCTATATCCATGGTTTGAATGATAAAAAACAAGTTAAATATTACATTATCAAACAGTTTAATTATATTAGATACGAAAAGTATATTCATCACGTCAGTATGTAAAAAAAATTTATTTATAAAAAATTAAAAAATATTGGAATGTTAAAATATAAAATTTTTATACATGATTTTTTAATGAGAAATTTGTTGCTGCATTTTATTGGCTAATGAATCAATTCTTGGACTGTACTTGGTTGATTTTAATTGAACACATGCTTCACTTAAATCTGTTCCAAGACGATTCCTTACAGTTGATTTAATAAAATTCATTGAAGAAAAAAGCTGCTCACACGCATAAGTTTATCCAAACATTGTCAATAAAGAAAGAGCTAGTTTTTTCATAGATGCAAATGAATTTGGAAGACTTTTCCACTCATTAAGAATCAAATTTTCCGATTTAAAATTCCTACCAATTTCATGATGATTATTTTCTAGCTCATTATTCAAATTAATAAATTTATTTCTCCAAATATTACTTCCATGAAATTCTATTAACTCCATTTCTAAATTTTCAATATTTAACCACTCAAAAAACTAAATTCAAGTTCTTCAAATTTAATTTTATGTGGATTTAATAAAAACTGTAATGTTGAATCTAGAAGACGAAATTGGGAAGTTTAAACCTAGGATCCAGGAACGTACATGTTAAGGTATTGCTGTTTTCTAAGTTATTAAAGCGTAAATCAAGTCCATTTTTAAGTTCTGAAATGACTCTTGAAACGTTTGGATCAAAATTTTTTAAATGCATTTTTTTGGTCACCGTCTTTAAGCTATCGGCTAAAACAATCACTAAAGAAGCACTCATATATTTTTCACCACTCACAGCTTTGGTGACTTCCTCAAATGGCTTTAATATGAGGCAAAGCTCCTTGCATATTTTCCAATCATTACTTGTTAAAGTAGGCAAGTTCACATCCAATATGGCAAGTGTTGCTTTTAATGAAGTTTCCAGCTCAATAAAACGGTTTAACATGTAGTAAGTAGAATTCCAACGAGTGGCTATGTCTTGTAATAATTTTTTGGGGGTTAAACCAGAATTTAATTGGTATTTTTCAAGTTCTTTAGAGGCATTCGAACTCCTTTTGAAATGGCCCACTAATGATCTTATCATGTTTAATATTTTACATATTTCACTTATTTTTAAAGAATCTTGAACTATTAAATTAAGTGAATGAGCAAAACATCCAAAATGTTTCAAGTTTAATATATTTATGGCTCCTTTAATATTATAGGCATTATCAGAAACGACAAGTATAACTTTATTGTCCAACTCCCATTCAGTTATTATAGACTGTATTTCATTGCTTAGATTTAAACTAGTATGTTTTTCCTCAAAAGGCATACATTGTAACAAAACAGATTTTATAACAAAGTCATTATCTAAATAATGCGCTGTTAATGCTAAAAAACTTTGATTGTTGATTGACGTCCAACAGTCTGTTGTTAAACATACAGATAATGCCTCTGTTTTTATTTGAATTTTCATATTGTTTACACATTTTTCATACAAAAATGGCAATGAAGTATTTGATATGTCTTTCGACTCGGAAGAGTGTATGATGGATTTAATAATTTAACAAAATTCTTAAAACCTATGTCTTCTACCATACTAAAAGGTCTACAATCTACGTAAAATAATTTTAACAAACCATCATCTATAGTTTTTTTACTGCTTGCAGATAGTTTCTTCGGGACAAATGCATGTAAAGAAAGTTGGTTTGTATTTTTTTTTTTGCTGTAGAAGTGTCTGTAATAGTTGGTGTATCTTCAATCGACATAGGCTCATCCACATTTTCTTCTCTACAACTTAAACTTGTAGAGGGTCCAACACATGGTTGTGGTTCCTTAAATTAAATAAACCAAGGTATTATGTACAATGTATATACACAGTATGTGAATATTTATTAAATAATTAAAAATAATAAAGACAGAGCCAGTGGCGTATCTAGGGTAGGGGCACGTGCCCCTCCGTCAATTTTCTATCAACCTCTTTTTTTTAGTCGGTGGGGTTAAAAAAAAATAGTCTTCAAAAAAATCCAACCTAGAATTAGATAATAAAAATGTATGTGTCCCCCCTGTCAAAATATTCAAGATCCACTCCTGGGCAGGGTTGCCCAGGGGGGGGTCAGTCAGTACTAGGGTACTAGGGCTCGGCAAATTTGTCAATTGAAAAAAAAATCTTTCAAGAAATATTAAGGGGCCTAGTTTCATTTGCAGTACCATACTTCAAAAATTCATGTAGGGGGCCTGAATACAGATGTGTATTTATTGTCAATTACTAAACTACAAATAATAGGATTAAATATACTTCAATTTTTAAACTTTTAATACCATTGGTGATACGTTAATAATTATTTGAAATAAATTATAACAAATTCTAAAATCAAGTTTGTCAAATTAACACTTCTAAGCTTACTAGTGGTAAATCAATAGTAGAGGGAATTCCTAAATTGACTAATGGATGCCTTCTTTCCATATGTTTTTTTAAATTTGACATGGTAGTCTTGTGTGATATTTTAATTCGACATAAATCGCACTTAGCATAGTGCGAGTCAATGTATGTAAAGTATTGCCAAAGTTCACTTGTCCGTTTTCTAGAGTCACTCATATTAAAAATTGCAAAAAACTTGAGTAAAATTACTTTAATAATTCAAAGAATAAATTTTAAAATACTTTTTCGAACAAGCCATATCATTTCGGAGAAAATCTGAAGCCTTATCTATTAAATTATTTAAAAATACCCATTATGATAATTACTACCTTTAAATTACCAAAAAATAAGTTCAGAATAGATCATACTTTAGTTTGAAATTGTACATCGTTTTATATAATTTAGTTCAAATAATTATTAGTATACCGCAAATGGTATTAAAAGTTCTATAATTGTAGTGTATTTTATTATATTATTTTTAATTAGACATACATAGACATATGCATTAGACTGGGCCAAAAAAATCGACAATTTTTTTTATTAAAAAATGTATGGAAAATGTTGTTCAAGGTGTTAATTAAAATTTATCGTGAAGGTTCGAGCCCTTAATATTATTAATATAAAGAAGTCTATCATAATCAATTTTGATTATTTTGCATAAAGTAATTTTTCCTTCAACTTAAATTGTGAATAACTTTTGAATAAGTTATTTTATGTAAAAATTATGACGCTTTTCTTTTAGAGCATTAAATTCCCTTTAAGAATCGATATTGTTTTTTACTATATATTTATTTATTCGTTAGTTACGAAAGTCCAAAATAAAAAAAGTAAATCTAAAAAATACATCAATGTTTAAGCTTGATTTTTCGGAAACGACTCGTCTGACAAAATTTTTTAAAGGTTTTTTGTAGAGAATAAAATTTTCTATAAATTTTTGTGTAGATAAATTTTATACCTCAAAAGTTTGGCAGCTTTGACGTAAAAATGAATGCACAAATGAAAAATCGAAATTAAAGATAATGGACTTCTTAATATTTATAAGAAGGACTCAAACCTTCACGATTTATATTTTTTGTTACCTTAAACAATACTTCCAATATAAAAATATTTGACAATATTTGAAATTTTTTTTCAAAACAAAAAAAAAATAGTCGATTTTTTTGGCTCAATCTAATATATATATATATATATATATATATATATATATTTGTGCATGTACGTAACATCTTGGCTCATTGATTGAATTTAGGTACCACAACCATGCATTATTTCACAAGTTGGTTCTTCTAAAAGTTTTGGTTTAAATTATTTTATTATATCTCTGATGTGCAACTAATTTAAAGTGTCTCCTTGTGTCTACAATTTAAATCTGTGGACCTTTGATGTCAAAATCTCAAGTGAATGATAATAATTATAAAATATATGGTTAACTCTGAGAAGGCTATTGCTCCCTCTCAACAAAATTTTCCACCCTACTGTTATGAATTTTATTAGTAGTTTTAGCATTGTGTTGCAATTATAATGCCAAAACATCTTTATTTGTATTTTTATTGAAGTCGGCCTATAAGAATGTGTTAAGTAGGTCTTTTTTTGTTTTTGAAACACCGGAAAGCGGGCCGACCGCGACTGTTGTAAAGCAGAACATCGTCAGTCGTTTGACAACCACATAGCGATCGTTACTTAGTTTAATAAGCAAGTGATTACTATTTTCGACAAAACTCTTTCATTTTTCACACATACGTATGGATTGTAATAGAATTTATTGAACATGTCTGCCTTCATCGATATCGTAAACAATTTTTCGAATAATTTCTTTGCGGTATAATGTTTTTTAAAATTTTGTATTATTCCCTGATCCATCGGTTGTAGTTTAGATGTAGTATTTGGAGGTAAAAATTCGATTTTTACAGATTTTAAATTGATATTACAATGAGCTGTACAATTATCAATAAATAATAAAACATTTCTTTGATTTAGTCGCATTTTTTGATCAAATTTTATAAGCCAATTTTTAAATAAATCACCAGTCATCCATGCCTTTTTGTTTGACTCATAATGTAATGGTAAACTCTTTACTCCTTTAAATCATCGTGGTTTAGTTGATTTCCCGATTATAAGTGGTTTAATTTTTTCGGAACCTGACATATTTGATCCTAAAAGAATTGTTATCCGTTCCTTGCTTTGTTTGCCACCTGAACAAGTTTCCCCTTTCAAAATATAAGTGCGGTCGGGTAGGCATTTAAAAAACAATGCTGTCTCATCCACATTAAATACATCATCGGGAGAATATTCTTTTATGATGTTTGATAACTTTCCTAACCATTCATTACATAAAGAGTCATTTACAGAAGCACTTTCACCACATATTTTACGAAAAATTATGTTATGACGATTTTTCCAATTTCCTAACCAGCCTTGACTTGCTTTAAAATTAGAATAACCAAATTGAGTTACGAAATATTCTGCTTTTTCTTTTAGTATTGGTCCACTTATAGGTATATTTTTATCTCTACATTGAGTAAACCATTTGAATAAACATACCTCTACATTTGGTAATTCTGCTGGTTTTGATCTTTTACAGTCACCTTTATTGTTTTGAAATTGTTTTAAAATATCCGCCTTATTTTTTAAAAATGTCGACAGCGTATTTGGAGGAATATTAAATTATTTTGCGATGTCTTGTTTTTTCCGGTTACCTTTCTCCACCAATTGTATCACATGAACTTTGTCAGCTATTGTTAAATGGTTTTTGACACATGTTTAAAAACATTCAAAAATACGCACGACAAACACGACAGGTAGAGTATAGACACATACTATCCAATACATTCTTATTATTATTGTGTGTGCGCTAATAATCAGTTTCTATCTACTCGTTTAATCTTTATTATACAGTACTGAAGTAGATAAAACATAATACATAATAATGAACACAATTATCATGAAATACCCAGAATATCCAGATATAGAAATATACTTCGACTAAGCTATTCATCACAATTTTATATTTGAGTTAACAAGACTTATAATACATTGAGTGTTATTATAATTTCTAAGGGAATTAAAAAAAAATCGAGTTGTCGAGTTCTTCGAGTTATTGAGGTTCGAGTTATCGCGACTCGACTGTAGTTGATAAATCGCTCGGTCAACTGCATTATATAATAATCCAAATATGGTATGAACACTGTTACACAATAATAATGTTTAATGGAACAATTCTGAAGGTTTGGGTTATCTCTCAAAGTTTGTTTTGAAATAATTCTTTTCTTTTTTAACTCAATTCCAACATTACCTTCAGCTATCTAGAATACAGATATTATAAGTTTAAACACAGTAAAATTATTTTTTTAGTTTAATATTTTCATAGATATTACTAAACTCTTTTTCATAGTTATCCATAACAATTTTCAGGGTAACTAAAATTTTCACTATATCAATAGTTTTTTTTAAGTTTATTTGTACTGTCTGTAACTGCTTACTGAGAGGTAAACAAAAAGAAAACAGAAACTGAAATAAAAAATAAAAAACACTATTAGAAGGAGCTTATAAACTGTGTAGTAAATAATCCAAATATTTTTATATACCTTAACTATATGAATTGAAATTAAAAATTCTGTATTCTCTATAGATATTTTAAGCATATGGGCGTCTGCTGGATCTTTCCAGTTGGATATTGTGCCCAATGCTTTTAGAACATATGGAAAGAGCTCAAAAAAAATCATTCACTGCATCATATCTTTGTATCCATCAGGTTGCACATAGTCGCTTTAACTGATTTACATTGGGCTCGTGATCTGAATTTTCAATCTTATGTAGAAGAATAGAATTTTTTTTTGGCGTATTGAAAATTATACCTAAACAATTCCTAATTAGTTTTATTTCACTTGCAGTTGATACAGCCATGTTCAATGAATGTGCTGCATAATGGACATATACAGCTTTAGGGTATTTTGATATAACAATATTTTGAACTCCTTTAAATTGTCCAGACATATTACTAGCTCCGTCATAGCCCTGTCCATATAGATAATTACAATCAATTCCACATTTACTTAAACCTGTAATTTAAAATTTGATTAAACACCTAAAACTAGTAAAATGCAAATTGAGTAGTTTATATATTTATCAATCACATGTACAAATATTTATTATTTAATACCATATCATGAATGATGATTACTATTTAATTTGGAACTTGCCAAAGATTCACCAGTTGGACTTTCAATCTCAAAAAATTGTAGAAAATCTTCATGTATCATGTTGCGTTACGCAACCTATTGAAAATGATACCCCAGTGACTAAAATAAACATGAGTTTAAAATTTCGAGATAAAACGCACCATACAGTGTACGGCTACCTTGCCTTTATCGCACTTGATATTTATATTTAGCCATAACTTAGAAACCGTAATCACAACGGAAAGACTATGTAATATTATGCATAATAATTTCTATACGTGTTACTTGACTATATTGCAGGAATAATAATCTGATTTTTTTTGCTCTGGGGGGTCCAATACCCCCCACCCTTCCCGTAAATACTCCACTGCATACATTTATCGTTTGAATCACGATGACAAAGGTTTTTATTACAAAATAATTTTCAGTAAAAATGAACAATGTAAGTATATTTATTTTTTTTTTTTAACTTATCATTAACAACTTTGTTATTTTTTCAGACTCGAACTTCTGATTATATCGTTCAAGAATTGGAAAGTGAATATCTACATGACATCAGCTCATACCTAGAAAACTATTGTGCTAATAACTCGAGCTGCGAAATGGAACTTGAAAATGTAGAAAACGACAATCTTAGTGTTTCGGTATGTATATAAAAAAATAAATAATATTAATAATAAATTTTGTACGAAATATTTTTTTTAATATAATTTTGTATATACATCATGTCTTTTATTAACGAAATAATTATTTTTGTAGAATACTCCTGAATATAAAAGCACACAGTTTCTGAGAATACTTAAAAATATTCCTGAAGAACGTTCAGAAATGATCTCACCCATTATTTCAACGACAATGGTGATTTAGTTGAATTTCCTGATAATGAACGGGAATTCAATACCGTGACGATGAATTTTACAGTGTTTTAGTAGGTATAATTTTTATTTTTTTTAATTTTTAAAATTTTTTTATAACAAAATAAAAATATTTCTATTTATAGACTCAAGGAACATATGGACTTTGTTACCACATCATTGATGACTGAACAAGCCCCGATCTTTTTCCCGAAATTAATGAAGTGTCAATATTCACAATACAGTCTAATACAGGGGTCCTCACTAGGATTTCTGAGGGAGCCAAATAGTTCATATCAAATTTTCCTTAGGGCCGCAAGTACAAATTGTATAGGTATAGGTTAAATAACTTACAAACAATATGACTATAACATAAGTTTATTACATTAGTTTATTACTTAAGTTTATTACATCAAAAAATAAACATTTTGCATATAAAAAAGTAGGGAAAAGTCTTTTACTTAATTTCATGATTTGGCCTACTTGAATTTGAACTTTAATTCTTTGAAGTCGAAGGGCGAAATCTTTCACAACTTTCTAATATGGCATCTATGTTGGCAGGTTGAGAAGAAACTGAAATTCTCAAAATGTTGTCAACGTTCTCACTTGTTAATCTGGATCTGTACTTGTTTTTTATGAACTTCAGCTTACTGAATGTAGATTCACAGACATACGTAGATGCAAAAACACACAAAATCTTCTGAGCACAGTCAATTAAGTTAGGAAATTTGTCCTTTTCAACTGCATTCCAGAACTCGTAATGAGCTTTATTCTTGTTTTTTTCTTCAAAAACACTTTTGAGCTCTGTATCATGCTGAAGATCAATTAACTCATTTTTCAAATCCCTAGCTTCGTATCCAAAAACAGAAAGATGAGCTATATTTGCTGTTGTAATTGACCATGGGTTTTCCACCAAGCGAAATGGTTCTTGATACTTCCTGAAGCCACTAAACCTCAAAGACAATTCGTTCTTTAGATCTGTCAACAGCTTTATTAAATCAGAAACATCTTGACTTTCATCTGGATTTTCATCAAATAAAGTTTTAACAGAAGGAAAGCTAGAATAATCACTGTTTAACAATTCTTCGATATACATTTTGAGTTTTTGTTCCTGTGAAAACACAATACTAATCATTTTTGTTACAATGTTATTGTAGTGTCCTTGCAATCGAGTCAGTGTTTCATTCATAAAGCCCATTGTATCAGTGAGAAACGCTACTTTGAGCCACCAACTAAAATCATAAACATCAGGATACTCTTTTTCCTTCGTAGCTAAAAACAGAGTAATCTCATGACGAATACTGAAGAAACGTTCCAAAACTTTACCCTTACTCAGCCATCTCACTTCTGTATGGTAAAGCACGTCCCCGTATTGTGATATAAGTTCTTTCAAAAACTCTTGGAACGCTCTGTGGTTTAGTTCATTTGACCTTATAAAATTCACGATCTTTACAACTTGTTTCATAACACAGCTGAAATTTTCACCAAATTTAACAGCTAAGCTTTCTTGATGAATAATACAATGAAAGCTTAATAAATTATCGTTTTCCAAATGCTTTTTCAACAACTGAACGAACCCTATATTACGGCCTAACATTGATGGGCAACCATCAGTACACACAGAAAAAACCTTTTTCAAATCAATACTACGCTCGTTAAAAAAACTTACTACCGTGTTCAAATAATCAACACCTCGAGTTTGTCCAGTCATGGGAATCATGCCCAAAAAATTTTCTTTAACAACACAATCCTTGGATACATATTTAACGAACAATAGTAATTGAGAAATTGACGTTATGTCAGTGGATGAGTCGAGTGCAAGACTAAAACATTTGCTTTGCTGAAGTTCATCGGTAATGTTAAGTGCAATATTTGCTGCTAAGTCTTGTGACCGCCTCATGCAAGTTGAGTCAGACAGCTGAAGTTTAGAAACTTCATCTAATATTTGCTTACTATTAGGTAAGTGTGAAAACAAAGTTTTACAAACGGTGACAACACACTCTTTTACAATTTCTGCATCAGAAAAAGGCTTCATCTTTTGTGCTAAAATTTCTGTTACTTGGTAGGATGCTTTTGTAATAAGCTCATTCTTGTTCATTGCATTAAAAAGGGTACTACGTTCACAAGCAAAGGACTTTTTCAATGATTGCAATTTTTCCTCTCGGATCTTAGATTTTTGCGGGAATTTTTTTTCAAACTGCGAATGAATTGAAGTGTAGTGTCTGTTCAAATTATAACGTTTGTTTCCGTTTACCGTTTCACGACATATCAAACATAGGGCAGTTCCTTCTTTCTTACCTTTTGTAAAAAAAAAATCTCCTTCCCACTCAGCTTGAAATGCACGGTTTTCATCCTCAAGTTTTCGTTTCCGCTCTTTTGAGTACACTCCCGCCATATTTATTTACAAAATTCAATCACCGAACGAAGTGTTATGTTCGTAAAATAATTTGTTCAATTGATAAAGTTAGCCGCACTAAAATCACATTAATACATGTTTGCACTGAGCTAGATAAAACTCTCCACTGTTGACAAACAGTTAAGATAAAACTGACGACCGAGCAATCGTCGAGGTCAGATATTTCATTTGTTGTTCGAGGCATTCTGGGAATTACCGTTAATAATAGATAATCATTTCGTAATTGCTACCCGTACATAAACTTGTTATATAAATATAAAATATATACTGGAACCTATTTATAAAGTATTGAATATTTTTCCAAAAAAATATTTATTTCAATAACTCTAAAATGTATGTTGGTATAACTATCCTTAACAGTCAGTCCGAGAGCCGCAAAAAAACGTTCCAAGGGCCGCATGCGGCCCGCGGGCCGCGTAGTGAGGATCGCTGGTCTAATACCATTGTAAGTTATTTTAATACATAGTTAATTAGCTTATTTTTAATAACATATTTTTTTTTTTTTGTATTAGCTGTACCAAGAAACGAATCAGCTCAAGAAATGAAAACATCAAATCTATGGAGAGATGACGGTTTTAATTCAGATGTAAATTACATTTCATGGCAGGCAATAGAGTGCAATAACTATTTGTAAAAATTAGTATTATGTGTGTAAATATTATGTAGAGTTTTCAGTTATGTTAAGCCAAATTTTAATAAATTATTATAAAAATTAATAATATTGTTTTTATGTTAAGTCAAAAGATATACAAACTTTATAGTTTGTTTTTATAAAATAATAAAATATACATAAAACCATGTGTCTTATCATTTAAAAAATAATTAAATAACAATGGTATCTTATATCATATCCTACACAATATTCTACAAGCATTGTAATAATGGTGGTTTTAGGTATGCACATAAAGTAATAAAAAAAGTGGTGTCTGCACACGCACACACCCCTTCATCGAAACTATATAACCCGGCAGTGTATACTTCAGACGCGCAGATGATTTTTGTTTCTTACTGAGAACTAAGATTCTTTGCTTTCAACAAGTAATCATTGTATCGCTATAAACATTTTTATTATTCAATATTATTTTATAATTTTATTTATTATTCATTATTTTATTATTTTATTTTATTAATTTATTTATTATTCATTATTATTATTATTATTATTTATCATGTATTCATGTACTAAATGTGTAAGAACTTTTTGAACTCGATCAAACATGCGTAGACAAGAAAAAACGCATTTGGGAATAAGAAACCGATGTGACTTTTGTGACGCAGATTTTAAATACTTTGGAGATTTAAAAAAAACATTTGAACAAACATAGTGAGTAAAAATATTCAATTAAATTCAATTTATATTTTAGTTAATAATAATAAGCGATTATATCTAGTAAAGCAGTAACAAATTAAAATAAAAACAATATATATATAAATATATTTAAAAATGCTTTTTACATTAAATTGATTACTTTCCGACAGCTTTACAAAAGTACATTATTATTATTATTTTTTGTTGATTGAAAATATTGCTAAGTATAAAATTTAATTTATTTCAAGCTATACTTTAAGAAAAAACAATGGATACTTATTTTATTTAAAATCTTTTAAAAAATTATTTCCATATTATATTGATTAATATTTTTGATAATTTTACAAAAAATACTGTTTAAATAATATTTTTAGTTGTTGTTTAAATTATAAAACTATAAAAAATGTATTTTATATTTTAGTTACCATAATTTCGGAACAAAATCGTCAGAGAGCTAGTGTATTATCACATACTTCAAACTATTATGATAATGAACATTTACAAACGTACAGTCCACCTCAAATTATCAAGGTATTAAAATCTTAGAGAATTTTTTTTTTCTTGGTAGTCTATTATATTTCAAATTAATATATATTTTTTGGTCCATATATTGTTTCATTGAATAAACGCAAACATGAAGACATTTGGGGTGGTGAACTTGGGGATCAAAACTGTTTAGAAGCCGATTCAGCGTTAACCAGTACTGCTAGTTCTACCGCAGGTCGTCGAACAAAAAAACAACGTCTGGAAGAGGTTAAAACAGAAGGATTCCAATTATTCCAGTCTACATTTGGAGGTATGATAAAAAACTATTATAAGAAAAATCTCAGTCTATTGCCTCATTACAAATTGTTTCTCGATGAAGCCAAGCCCGAGATAATAAAATTGCTTATTGAGTTAATCTCAAAGAACTCAATTAAATTTAACTTAAAACTGGAGGGCACATACAAAATCCCCCATACCAAAAGTTATAGAAAATAGGTCTTTCAAAACCTCTGCTCAAACACTATGTATGGCTGACAATGATTTGCATGCCATACTAGAAGAAGAATTTAATAAATTAATGCACGAAGAAGAAGTTTACCAATCAAAAGGATCGGGCTTTTCAATTGACAGCGTCGAAGGTTTATTACTAAGTGTGTATCGTTATAAACCACTCGGGGGCTCATCATATTTCAAACTACCCGACAACATTGAAGCACGTTAGGCAATCATTAATGTAAAAAACAATGATGAGATGTGTTTTAAATATAGTATTATGGCAAAATATGTTGACGCGCCAAATCCAAGCAGAATTAGTCACTACTTAAACGCACCAGTTAACTACGATTTTTCAGAATTAAACTATCCAGTAGAAGTCAAGGACGTCAAAAAATTCGAAAAAGGAAATCCGGGTGTCTCTGTGAATGTGTATGGGTTGAAAATATGTGAGCCGACATGCAACGTCGATAAAATCCACAACCCCCAAAAAAACAAAGAGTATATTGTTGTTCCTTACAAGATAAATGATCAAGAGTTGAACAATCATTTCGATATTCTATTGTTTAATGATGATGAATCAACTAATGGTGATAAATATCATTATGCCTACATTAAGAATTTTTCTCGTTTGGTAAGATCGCAAATTACTAATCACAGAACTTCTCAAAACAAATCAACCGATGACGATGACAAGGGAGGATTGGAACGTTCATAACGCTATTTTAAGTGTAGGTAAATGTCCATTATGTACAAGTCAATTCACTGAAAGGAACCATACCGTACGAAACCATCACCATTTAAGTGGCAAATTTAGAAACACTGTATGTAATTCATGTAACTTAAGAATACAGACACCAAAATTTGAACCTGTTTTCGCTCATAATATGAATTATGATAAAAGTTTCATTATTGGCGAGTTGGGTTTTGACGCACATACACTATCCGTGGTACCAAATAGCGAAGAAAAGTTTATATTTTTTTCAAAGTACATTTCAAACAAATTTTCTATACGTTTTCAGGACACATTTAAATTTATGTCGTCAAGTTTAGATGCGCTTAGTGCAAATTTAGTTTGTTCAGACAAGTCTAAATTCAAATCTGTAATGTCTGCATATCAGAGCAAAGATTAGGATTACGTTATTTGGGATAATGAGTTGGATGTACAACTTTTTTGTGATGTATTTGAAGCTTTCAGAGACGTATGTTTATCAACCTATGGACTAGGCTCCTGTTTTTACTATACCGCTCCGGGTTTATCATTTGACGCCATGCTGAAAATAACTAAAGTCGAGCTTGAACTTTTAACGGACTATGATATGCTCTGTTCATAGAAAACAGAATAAGGGGTGGCATCACTCAAGCTGTAAAAAGGTATGCCAAGGCGAACAATAAATTTACGACTGGTTACGATGTGAGTGAGCCGTCAAGCTGGCTAATGTATTTAGATGCTACTAATTTGTAAGTTTTTTTTTGTTTTTTATTTTATAAACATTTTCTTTAATTTAATTTAATAATGTTATTAAGTTTCAGGTACGGATGGGGTATGAGTGAAGCTCTTCCACGAAAAAACTTTAGGTGGTATGAAAAGGACATATCTGTAAGTGCTGTGACCAGTCTGCTAAAAAGGACCGGATCGAACTCAAACACCGGCTATATTATGGAGGTGGACGTTGATTATCCTCAGACTTTACACGATACACACACTGACCTACCTTACTTGTGTGAAAGGTTTTTGCCACCAGGGGCATTAGTTTCTAAACTTTGTACTACTTTAATTAATAAAAAAAATTATACTGTACACTATACTGTTTTGAAACAGGCTATGGACGTTGGGTTGAAACTGAAAAAAGATTCAAAAAATACACAGAGTATTACAGTTTGAACAGAGCGCATGGCTATCAAAATACATTAAATTAAACACGGAGAAAATAAAGTTGGCTACTAATGATTTTTTTAAAGATTTCTTTGAATTAATGAATAACGCCGTATTTGGTAATTATTTAAAATTAAAAAAAAGATAAATTATTATGCTCTCTAACGCGATTAAATTTTATAGGAAAAACCATGGAGTCATGCAGAAATAGAATGAAAATGTAGCTGGTATCTAATGCTCAAACAGCTCAGCGATTATTTAATAAACCAAATTTTAAATACATTACATATTATACTGATGAATTCTGCGCCCCATTCACTTGTTTCACGATGCTCTTATTTTTGATAAACCTATATATGCTGGTTTTAGCGTGTTAGAAATATCAAAAACATTAATGTATGATTTTCATTACAACACCATGAGAAAAATGTATAATGGTCACATTGAGCTTTGTTATATGGACACAGGTAAATAAAATTATATATTTATATTTATATATATAATAATTAAAAAATTAAAAATAATAGTGGTTATTATAAAAAATCACTCATTTATTTCATACGTACAGAAGATTTTTACGATGATGTATTAAAGAAACCTCGCTTTTTAGAAAAATTAGATACCTCAAACCTAGAGCCTAATCATAAATGTTATCGAACAGAACGCGCTAAATTACCCGAGACCTTTACATATTTGCATTATTTTTTAAATGTATATTGATTTTAAATAATAATAATAATATTTCTATTTTTATTTAATTTATGTGTAGACGAAGCCCTTGGAAAAATCATAGCTGAACTTATTGCTCTCAGGTTAAAATCATATGGATACGAAATGGACGGTAAAGAGAAACTCAAGGCCAAAGGGGTCTCTAAGATTGTAGTTAGTAATCATGTCACGTTAATGGATCATAAACAATGTCTTTTCAAGGGGTTGTCTACACCACACATTCAAGATAATTACTCTGCTGAGCGGGAGATGATATCATTCAGGTCAATCAAACATAAAATGAAAACGATTAAGACTAGAAAACTTGCACTAAACCGTTATGATGATAAGATGATAGTATTAACGAATCAGATAGATACTCTACCTCATGGTCATTAAAAAGTCGAGTATGTAATGATTGTTAAAATATAATAATAATAATAGTAAATGTTGTATTGATATGTTTTAGGAAACTGATTGAAGAAGGAAAACTGTAGTTATATCAACAAAAAATGGAAAATATAGTGAGTTAAAAATTGCTATGATGACACTATAGGACCGAGTAAGTAAAAATTCAATTATTGTTTAAATAAATAATATAAAAATATTAATAGTAATAATAGTTGAATTTTTATTTATTAGGATATTGAACGAGGAAAAAATCTGTAGTCAAAAAAAAAAACGATAAGTGATAAGAGGATAGTTGGTACAGAGTAAAGTGTGTACAAATTAATTGTTGCATAAAATAATACAAAATTATAATCATATTTTTATTTTAGGAATCGGATTGAAGAAGGAAATCATTAATTTTATTTAATTATTTATTATTATTATTATTTTTTTTTTTCAATTCTGAGTAATATTGTTTATAAAAATTATTTTCGAAACACCTTTTAATTGAAAGAATTGTTTTTTTTGTTATTATAATTGTGGAAGTCCATATCATATATACATTTTAAAAATTATAAGCTGTTTACAATAATATTGAAGTAAAAAATAAAATAACTATGATAAAGAAGCATATTTATTTAATTATTTTTAAAAAAATATTGCTAACACAAAGCACAAAAAAAATACATTTCCAAAATAACACAAAGTCAAATATTGTTTACAAACCAATTTCTAAGCAAAACTATTTTATAAAAAGTACAATTCTTAGGATTTAGGTTCATGTGATAAATTCAACTGTTGGGTTTAAGGTGTATGTTCCGCTAATTCCAATTGGTCAATTCTTGGCATCCCTAAATCTTCGAGATTAAAATATTTACTTCTGGAATAATTCTGCAAGAATACGTTGTTTCTTTTAACCTTTTACATAAATGTTTTCAAATGGAAGTGAGTTTAATATTCATCCTCCTATATCTTCAGCCTCAACATCCTCAAAGTGCACCGACATAAAATGTCGATTTTTTAACAACCAGTTATTTACACTTCGACTTTTTTCTGATTGTGGTCTTGGAAACGAATGTTTAAAAATCCAGTGTAAAGTTGCCCAAGAGTCTACATCAATTACCGAAAGTTCTTCAATTAAATAATTTGTGTTCAATCCCATTATGCACTCAATATCAATTAAACAGGTAGACATAGTTTATAAGTATCACACGCGCACACACGTGTTAAAAGGGTCACGGACCGTATAAAACTAAGTACTCTGCTATACAAATAACCAAGTTTCTTACGAGTCATATTCACGTAATTCCGCTCGTGTTACTTTTTATGTCCGATTAAAGCTGTGCTATCTAATGCAGAGAGTTTAATATCCAAATTTATATACTTTTCTTTTACTTCGTGTATTTTACTGTTTAAGTCATTGCATACATTTTGTATTTCTTCAAATTTCTTACCATAACTTTCATGTATTTGATTAATTAACGAATGAAAAGCTAGCAATTGGCTTAACCTTTGGCTTTCTTCTGTTCTGCCAAATACGTCCATTTTAGCACGTGTTTATGTTCAAACTGATATTATTTTTTAAGTTCTGAATTATTTATCCAACTATTTTCTGTAAATTTAAAGCCGTACCATTTTACATATAATTTATCACCTTTTTTACGAATTATCTTTTCGACTAAAAAATTGTCTGGAAAATGAATTTTACTAATTTCTTCGGCGTAGAAACCACCTGCAATATCGTTAACTCTGTAATCCTTCAATTTATATGTATACGGTTTTGTGTTGTTTATTTTTGATATAGTGAAAATTTCAGTCGACCAGTTTGGTAAAAATCCTTTAGTAAAAATCCCCTTTTGTATGCTTATACGCAGGGTCGCATTTAGGAATTTTGCCGCCCCCCAAAAAGAGTTGGATTGGGTTTTTTAGTTGGCNCCCCCAAAAAGTGTTGGATTGGGTTTTTTAGTTGGCGTATTTAATAATTCCGAATATTCAATTAATTGATTTTCATTTGCCATGGTTTCAAAAGTACTATGTAGAGGATGTTCACTAAAAAATTATAAAATTGTTTATTTATAAAAAACTGAATTAACGCAGATGAGATAAAGAATGCTTGAAGCATATGCAAGCAATTCCGAATTTTCAATTATTTGATTTTCATTTGCTAGGGCTTCAAGAGGACTCTGAAGTTTAGGCTCACTAAACAAAATATAAAATTTTTCATTTATATAAAACTGAAATAACGTACAAAAGTTAACATTTGATTTTTAAATTACTTTTTATCACTAGACTCATTTGAAATCTGTTCAGCTGTAGTCTCTATTTTACTTGGCGAATTGAAGATTGATGGTCATTGATTGCCAAAAAATGAAGTTAATTTTGCGGTTTGAGAAATGACTTTTTGTTCTTTTTCTAATTTTAATTTAGCAACTTTTTTATAAGCACTTCCACTTAAACGTTTTCTGCCATCACTCATTTTAATACGTTAATAAATAATAAAATATACAAATAAAAAAAAACACCTCAACACATTAACTCGGTCACTTGTAGTCGAGTACTAAACACAATGAGCTGTCTGTACACAACACATTATTAGTGTGACATTATTAGATAGTAATTTTGTGAAAAATGAGACAAATTATTGTGTTTTAACTTTCTTAGTATTCCAATAATAATCGACTATCAACGGCCGAAGACATCCACAAAACCAGTTTAAGGGAGATTCAATACTTTGTTAAAATTAGATAAAAACACGAATCAAATAAATTGTTGCCTACTTTATTTATAGTGCTGTTGATTATAAAAAAAACGGTAGCACAGTGGGGTCGAGGCACAGTGTGGACGAGGCATAGATGGGACAAGTATAGATGATATCTGACAGTGATTAAAATCACTATCATAAGAAACGCTTCGATGCAAATCTGTAGATAGTGTTTCCTTTAGAGAAATTGGTGAAATATTTTAAAAGCAACATGAACTCTTATTTCTTTAATTATATCCTGATTAGTAGTTCTTTGATTTTAAAATATAATATATGAATAAATACTAATTATAGTTTTTAAATTTAGTATGAAATTGTGAGGCCAGCTATGATGTATGGTTAATAGTGTTGGGCGGTTGATAAGAAAGTAGAGCAGAGAATAAGTGTAGCAGAGATGAGAATGCTTAGTTGGATGAGTGGAGTGACTAGAGAAGATAGGATAAGGAACGAGCATATAAGAGGAAGTATAGGTGTTGCGTCAATCGTGGATAAGATGACAGAAAATAGACTTAGATTGTTTAGTCATGGTATGAGGAAAGAAGAATCGAAAGCTGTAAGAACAGTTATAGAAATGAATGTTGAAGGAAGAAGAGATAGAGGAAGACCAAAAAAGAGATGGAGGGATGCTATTGAATGCGATTTGAGGACAGCTGATGTGAGCGTAGAAGATGTGGGAGATCGTGTCAAGTGGAATCTTAGGATAAGGGTGCCCGACCCCAAGTAGTTGGGATTAAGGCAAAGAAAAAGAAAAATATTACCAGATATTCCGGTGGCAATTGACATAATATGATTGTTATTTCGGAATGTACAATTTAGCGTTTAGTTGGGTTTAAATAATATAGCGTCAAATCAATTACCTACTCTATCGGTTGTATCTCAATATACACTACACTTTAATGATACAATAAATAAATAAACTCACACATACACACATATGCATTTATAACATTGTGTCTAATGTAAGTATAACATGATAAAAAGTAACCGTAAAATGAAAAAAATGGAATATAAATTTTATTACTCATATTAAATGTAATGTAACTCGAAAAATATTTGTTTAAATGAAAAAATATAAGATTATATTTTTATTTATAATTGTCTTTTAAACAACTTTTGTGCGAAACTTTTTTTTGTAAGTTAAATATTTTTTTTTGAGAAAATTAAGAAAGCTCATATTTTTGAACTTTTGCGAGGATTTAAAAAAAAAGCTCAATTCCAATCTTGAGGACTATTAGTATGTCATTATACATATTTTAATTCAACTTTTAAAAAAACAAAATTTTTTCCGCAATTTTTCCTTTGTTGACTGGCCTAGATGTCAATTTTAAACTTGTAATTGAGCTAAAAGTTATGGTAATATATTCAATTTATTTTACTATAAACTTTCATAAATCTTTATCAAAAATTTTTCATCAACTTTAAAGAACCAAAAAAATAGGTTAAAATTGAAAATTTGGACTGATTATTTTTAACATATTAAAAATCAAATCAGTAATAATTTGAAAACAAATTTTTTTTTCTTTTAATTATTATTTTATATATATAATTAGTAATAATATAAAAAATTAGAAGTGATAGAAATAGTCTACTTGCAGATTTGAAAACAACGCGAAAAGTTGATTTAGAAAAGTATATTTTTGCTTCTGATGAAAGTTCCTTGTAGTCCAGTGCATTTTTTTATAGTAACAAACAGTTTTTATTGAAAATTATTGTATCAAGCCCTTTAAATTTTTATACACGTAAAAGTAAAGCAAAATATAACTTCTTTATTATTTTTATAATTTCTCCGTTTAAATTACAATATTAAATATCAATTTCATACTAAATTTAATAATTATAATTAGTATATATTCAAATATTATATTTTAAAATCAAAGAACTACTAATCATGATATAATTAAAGAAATAAGAGTTGATGTTGCTTTTGGAATAATCCACCAATTGCCTAATTAAAACAAAAAAAAAAAAAGTTTGTTGGGAATTTTTTCTGCTATTCTGCAAAATTACTCCTTCGTTGACTAGAATGAATCATTAAATAGAAAATTTTATGAGAATTAAAACAATGTTATTTTTAAGATTAATATGCAGTCAGAAAGTTTTATAATTATTATTTATTGTAAATTTATCAGAAAAACTCATTATTTTTTGCATTTTTATCGTAATAGAACACTTAAATAGAAATCATAGTAATCATTTCTAAGTAATTTTTGATATTTAAAAAGATTCTACTATTGAAATATCCAGAACTGAATTAATTTTAATGATTTACTTTAACTAAAAAAAAAAAAGTTAATATTTTGAATCCCTCTTGTGGGCAGGTAAAGGGTTAGATTTATAAAAAAAACCAAATGATAGATAAAGACATGCATCTAAATAAAAAAAAATATACTGATTTGGTCATTTTTGATAAAGTTATAACAATTAACAAAGTTATAAGTTTTATACACTGGACTACAAGGAACTTCCATCAGAAACAAAAATATACTATTCTAAATCAACTTTTCGCGATGTTTTAAAATGTGCAATTAGACTTTTTCTATAACTTCTAAGTTTTAATATTATTAAAAAATAGTTTTTACATATAAAAAAAAATAATTAAGAACAAAAAAAATTGTTTTAAATTAATACTGATTTGATATAATATTTAATATTAATTTGATTATTAATAAGTTAAAAATAAGGAAAATGACATATTTAACCAATTTTGTTAATCGTTTAAAGTTGATTGTTGTAAATGTTTATAAAAAAAAAAAAAAATTTATTTTACCATAACTTTTAGCTCAATTGGTAAGTTTGACATTGACATAATTAAATAGAAAATTTTATGACAATTAAAAAAATTGTATCGTT